GAGCTGCTCCGTGTCTCACTGTCAGCTCTACTCCCTCTGCTTTCCCCAAATGTAGGAGCAAATGAGCTGTGTAAAGCAAGTGCTGCCCAGGAGCAGCTATTTGAGCCAGTTGTTGGGAATCTTCCCCTATAGCCTGTCTCATCTCCCCCCACAAAACAAAGACACCTATAGGTAACAGGGTTGTGTTCCCTTTATAGGCGGGGAAACTTGTGCCTAGGGAGGGCAAGAGAGGCTCATCCCCCATCTCTGGGGTTGGTCCTCAGTGATGGGGCTGGCTTGGCCTCCTGCCAGGTAGCCCAGTCTAACTTGGGCATCCAGGCCTATAGCTGCCTCTGAGGTAGCTCTGGATTTACTTACGGATTTGCTCAACCATGCAGTAAACCTCTATGAGCTCCTTTTACCACAGACAAATCAGGTACCAAGTCCTGGCACCCAAGAGTCACTGGCAGTGGGATGGCCAAGTAAAGTGACACTGGTGCTATGGGAGTGTGCAGAGAGGGTGCGGGTGTGGTGAGGGAGCAGGTTGGAGCTGGGACTTAGCTGGATGCTGAGGCTCCCTGGTGGCCCTCCTCTGGAGTCACGAACAGTCAGACAGGGTGTGAAGGTGGGGGCATGTGGTGGCATCTGATTGCAGCATCGACATCCCCACCAGCTTCTGCTGGGCTCCTCTCAGCCACAGCTGGGGCAGAGGAAGTACTGACAGCCAGGTGGCAAGGGCTAGCAGTGGCCTGGGGGTGCCCAACCAAACCCTGACTTCCCATCTGCCTGAGCAACTATACCAGAACTGCTGCAAGGTGGTAAGCTCTAAGTCCCAAATACCCTGCCAGGAGTCCTCAGGAGGGTAGATGCTAGAGATCACAGACTTCGCCCTTCTTACCCCCACTTCATAGATGGGGAAACTGAAGCCCAGAGAGGTGAGGAGACTTAGCATGGGAGTTGGTGGCAGAGCTGAGACTAGAACCCCAACTCCTGCTGCCACTTTACCTGCTGTAGAAAATGCCTGCTCCTGACCTACCCCTCTGAAGGAAAACAGGTTATTCATTTATCCCTTTCCCCTCTGAGCTCCCTACCACTTCCCCCTGCTATGTTGTGGGAAGCATAGAGAAGGAACTGGGAAACCCACAACATCGGGGCAGATGCAGGCCTGGAGGTTGGGCCTGAATTTAGTTCAGCTCTGCCAACCTCCAGCTGAGCGACTTTCACCCAGTGTCACCATCAGAATGGGGTGTTGATGCCAAACTCATAGGAGTCCAAGTGCCTGTGCAAGGGCATGGGTGGGGGGGTCCCAAAGCTTTATGGGCCTCTTGTGCATCATACCTGTCACTCAGCCCTGCAGAGAGGGAGCTCAGGGGCCTGAGGAGAGGCCAGAGTACCCCCTTGGGGCTGCCAGGGCACTAGGGATCCAGATAAGGATCAGACCCAGGCCTGGCCCTCAGGCAGTTTCTAGTGTGATGCAGAATCAGCTTGTAATCAGCACTTAGTACAAGGTCAGGGGCTATGGATGCCTTGAAGAGGACTCTCTTGTTTCTCCATTGTGCAGGTCTCACTTTATCTTCAAATAGGTTATCTTCACAGGTGGTAAGATGGCCTCTGGCAATTCCAGGCTTGCATAGACCTTAGAGTTTATCATCCCAGAGAAGGAAAGGCCTTCTCTTTCCAAAGGCTTCCTGGAAGACATGCTGCCCTAGATAGGTTCGAAACCTCTCTGGGTTTTGAAGGATTTGTTGCTTTATCTCATTGTGAGGGAATCTTCAAGTGAGCAAAGCAGGGAAGGCCTCTACCTAGAATATTTCTTATGTGGACTGGGAGCTCCTACTGGCCTACATGGGGTTCAACATCCATGGCCAGGCCAGGTCCCAGGCCCGGGCTCCATGGTCAGCCAGGTTGGGATTGTCTGAGAAGGCCTGGGCCTGAGACTGCAGAGGAGCAGTCCTCCTAGCTCCCTCTCCAGGAGCCTCCCCACTCTGACCCCCATAGAAGCACTTGGCATTTGGTATTTGGGACCTAGAGCTCACCACCTTGCAGCAGTCCCAGTACAGTTGCCCAGGCAGATAAGAAGTGAGGGTTCACTTGGTAGACTGCATTTTCCACTTGTTAGCAGAGCAAGCTGTGGGTGGTAGTTGGGGCTGGATAAGCCAGGGTGAGAACCAAACGAGCAGTGTGGGAAAAGCCTGAGCTCTAACCCACCTTGCTGTGGGACTTGTGAGACTCCCACAGGCCCTCAGTTTCCAGTCTATACAATGGGGTGAGGGTTGAACTAGGTGGTGTGTGTTTCCTGCACTATGACTTTACCTAATTTTAAGACACCTAATAAGCTTAGCAGAAAGATTTGAATTAGACATGGTGATGAATTTTTGGGTCTTCTCGGTTGTTTCAGTTCAGGATATGTCATCAGTGAAATTTCTGTACTCCTCCTCCAAGCAGGAGAGCTGGACAGGATCTGGCCCTGGCACCAAGGTTGGGAGCTTGATAAGCTGACTCCCAGGGCACCTATTCCCTAAGCACCCCTCAAACCTCTGGCTTCAGGGGCCTGTCTGCAACAGGAAGCAGTCAGCCACGAGAAGGCGTCCATTGCTTTTTTTTTGTGCGGAGTAGAAGGTGGTGTTCCCCAGTGCTGTCCCTCACCCCTACCTGAGTCTTTGGACTGAAGCACTTATAGTGGTGTTTCTCAGACTTAATCACCTGGGGATCTTGTTAAAATGCATATTTTGATTCAGTAGATCCAGTCTGGAGCCCAAGGTCCTGCATTTCTAACCTGCTCACAGGTGATGCTGATGCTGCCCTTCCCAGACCACACTTTGAGTAGGAAAGTACTAGAGTACATTTTGTCTTCTGTCTAGCCAGGGCATCCAGCCTGCCTCAGATGGAGCAGGAACTCACCTGCCATTTAACCAACCCCAAGTGAAGCAGGAGGCCATGGCTCAGGAGGCAGAGCCAGTTGCTGGAAGATGACTTGGCCGTCTCCAGTCCTTGGACCAAGGGTTCAAGCCTATGCTAGGACTTCACTTCCCTTCCTTATATACTCACTCAGGACTGTCCCCACTTGTAGGTGAAGGTGAAAGGTCATGAGACCCTCAAGGATAATCATGCGATGAACTCATCTGTCTAGGCTCCACTGACGGACAGGCTGACCAGGGCTTGAGCATTACCTTCCCACTGTGTCCTGTGTATAGAGCGTTTGCACTCAGCAGCTGCTCTGAGGAAGGGGGAGATCCTCTAAGCAGGGTCAGGAATACTGAGTTTCAGTCCTGGCTCTGCTGCCTACTACCTGGGTAGCCCTGGGCCAGTCAGTTCCCGTCTCTGAGCCTCAGTCTCCCTGGCTGTCTAATTAGGCTATACTGGATGACCCCAGAGGGCCCTCAGGCTCTAGGATGGATTGTTGGGCAACTCTGGAGATGGGACAGTCCTATGAAGGTAGGATTTTTATAAAGTGGGTGAAGGAGCTATTATGAGGCAGACATCTGGAATGGCTCTGTGGCCCAGCCTTTTTATATGCTTTTGTGAGTTCACATCCTGCCGCCTCCACCCCAGTTATGCCTGTGAAGTTATTAAATGCTACTGAGCACCCAGTTTATGCACTGAGTATATGGCAGTGAGCCCTGCAAGCTTGCCTGGGGTCACATAGTGAGTGGAACCAAAGTCTGAACCTAGGTTTAACTCTTCTGCTAAACCAAGCCTCTTTCCTCCAGGGAAAGGGGCCATCTTGAGGCCTAGCATTTCCTACCTTCCTCCTAAAAGTCAAAGCATTTGTTAACTTGATAAGGGTAGGTCTCTTTCTAAACTTGGCTGCAGCTTTGTTCTACAGATTTTAAAGAAAAGCAAAGGCTTCAGTGTAGCCCCCTAAATCCCTCTCTCTCCCTGCTCCCAGCTTACATGCTAAGTTGAAAGGTTATGAGACCCTCAAGGACAAGATTGTGACTAATTCATCTGCACTCTGGGCCTTGCATGGAGTAGATGGTATGAAGGAATGTTTGATGGGCACACAGTAGTCTCTTGGTGAAGATATGTTGAACAAAGGGCATGTACTGGGGGCTCAGCAAAGAGGGATTCGAGGTGGCCTACTGTTTCAGCTGCTGGAAGGAATGGGGTATGGGTGAGGAACCTTTACCCATGCTCTTTTCCAGTGCCATCTCTTGCAGTCACCAGGCTCCTGTCCTCACTGCCCATCAGCTGCTGGAGTCTAGAGCGTCATCCTGGGGGCACCAAGCCAATTAAGTGGGGACATCTCGTCCTGAATTCCAGGCTTGGCACTTGCTTGATAGCAAATGTAATTACAGCCCTCAGTGTCCTTCATGCTGCCTAAAGCTCACTAGCCACTGGGTCCTTTGGAGAAGCAAAGGCTCCCACCTGACTCCTTTCTGGGCCCCACGCTTTGTGCACTGAGGTGAAGCTGAAGATGTAAATCTCTCTGAAAGTGGTAGTGGTGTGGCAATCAGTGGTATTGGGGGTGGGGACAAGAGGATTCACCTCCTTGGAGAAGAGGTATTAGTCCGGGACATACAGGAGGTAGGGCAGTGGTTGGGGATGCTCAAAGTACACTTGGAAAAAAAAAACATTGCAAATTGGATGTTGAACCTCTGTCCTTGGTCTCACAGACAGATAGGAAAGATTAAATATTTGTACTAGATCCAGATAAAGGACAGGAGTTTGACTGGGGTGGAGGGGACGGAAGAGAACTGGTAATTACGAGAGATTTCCCAAGGCCCAGCCCTGGGACTAGTCTCTTTAGATACTTCATGTAGTCTCCAGAATGACCCTCGGAGTAGGATACCATTCCTATTGTGTATCTATAGAAACTAGAGCACAGGGAAGTATGCCAACAGCCCAGAGTAACAAAGCCATGGGGTTGGGGGCTAGGATCTGAACGTGGGGCTGTCTGATTCTGTAGTGGATGCTCTTCTCACATCTAGAAGGGTAGCTGTGGGAGGTGGAATTTGTACTAGTGACCACATAGCTGAAGTGCAGGGTGACAATAGACTGACATCTGCCCTCTGCCGTAGGTACTGGCTCCAGCATCCTCTCCGCCCTCCAGGACCTCTTCTCCATCACCTGGATCAATAGGTCCAAGGTGGAAAAGCAGCTACAGGTCATCTCAGTGCTCCAGTGGGTCCTTTCCTTCCTGGTAATGGGTAAGCTGGGCCTTAGAGGGAGAGTAGTTGGGCAGGCATGGTCCACTTCCCCAACAGAGGTTAGAGCAGGAGCTATGCTCTGCAGGGGTGAGGGGGTAATAGTAACCCTTACACAGGCTGCCCCCACCCATCACCTTTCCACATCCCAGATCAAGTGCTCTACCCCTCAACATGCATGAGGATTCAGTGAGATTCTGTGGGAGATGGTGTGATGGTTCCCATTTACAGATGGGAAACCTCAAGTCTTAGAGAAGCTAGGTAACTTGCCCAAGGTGACACAGATTTGATTCCCTGTCTTTAGAACCACTAAAGCCTGTGCCTTTCCCACAGTGCCACCCTGCCCACCAACAGACATTTTCCAGCAGGTATGTTACTTTGCCTTAAGGTGGTTGCCAGGTTTAAGTCTTGAATCTCCTGCAAACAAGCTGTGAACCTACAAAGGTTACTTGAGCTCTCTGAGTGTTAGTTTCCTCATTCTGAGTATGAGGAAAGTGCCTGCTTCACATGGATTTTGTAATGATTGAAGATAAAAAATGAGAGTACCTGACACAGGGCCTGGTCATGATGGGCCCCCATTACATAGGAGTTGTTGGGAGGTAGCCTGAGACCCTACTCCCAGCCCACACCCATCCTCTGCTGAACACATTCCCTAGCTACTTCCCAAGGCCTGCTCCCAGCTGTCTCTCAGCACAGCCCATGTCGGTGCTTTGGTTGCTTTTTCTGCAGGTCTGGCTAGATACTCTCACTCCTTAGGTTGCCATCTAGGCCAGGGGCAGGACAACACAGATTAGCTTAGGGGAGGTAAGAGGCCTCTTCTTATTCCCCAGACCCCTGTGCTCTCAGCATAGCAGACAGCTTCCCCAGTATGATAAGGCAGATGAACCTGCTGCAGAGCATCACAGAGTACATTCCAGTGCCTGTGAGTGAGTCCCTCTGGGTGACCCACTCTTTGGGACTGTATAGGCTGGTAGGGGATCATCAGGACTTACCATGTCAGTGCTGAGCAACTGTCCTTCCAGCAGGCGCATGGGGGGGGCTCTGAGACTCTGAGACCATGTTCGCAGGGCCAAGGGATGGAACTTCACAGGTGAGGAAATGGAAATTTACAGAGTTCATCAACTACCTGATACTGTGAAGCACATTAAATGGCAGAGTTGGGATTTGAGCAGAAACTCAGTGCATTACCTAAGGTAGCCCACCTTACTGGAAGCCCAGAATTAGTGAAACAGGGCTGAAACAGGCAGTCTTCACCTTTAGGCTTTGGGGGAGGAATCCATGAACCCTTAAAATTAGATGCAAAATTATATATGAGAGTATATGCACATTTTTCTCAGGAGAAGGGGCATAGCTGTCCTCAAAGTCTTACAGGGACATGCAGCCTCAAGAAGACAAACACTGGTTGGAAGAACTGAGCAAACTAAACGGACTCCCTCACGGCTCAGACCCCTAGCATGGCTTGCATTTGGCCACTTACTAGAACCCCAGAGTTGTGAGCATAGTGTGACCCGTCCTTATTCAAAAAGGAAGTAAAGAAGAAAGTACTGGGACCAGGACAAGAACCCAGGGACTCTAGCCTCCCAGACTCCCTGCCTAGTCTGCTATACCAGCTCCCTTTGTCCTCTGTTGCACCCAAAAGCCATCACTATCCCTGTCTTAGTAGGTTTGGGCCTGGCTGTTGCGGAGCTGAGCAGCTTGGAGAACACCAGCCCATATGGCATGTGATGGGGTCTGGCCCCAGGCTGTAGGTTAACAATTGATCAGACCCAACCACATCCCAGAAACCGGCCCAGCATCTTCTCAGCACCCTCGCCTTGCAAGACCTGGTTGGACAGGCAGATCTGCTGAGCTACTACTAATTACCGCCCTCAGCAGCCCCAGCCACTCCCTACCTCTGCCTCTCAAACCTGCTGGCAGAGGCTTACCTGGCAAGCAAAGGCCATGGTGGCTCTGTTGGTCTCTCTCTGGACCACCACTTTGTGCCATGGAACTCTCTGGCATTCTGGTGAGGTCTGTGCCCTTTCTCAGTGTTTTAGAGCATTTAATACAAGATATGTTGGATTTCAGAGGAAACTACTGATAATAAAATATAAATATCTAAACAAAAACAAAAAAAAAACAAAGGAAAATATATATATATATATAAAATATCTACACATTTAAAAAAGCTGATTAGACATGTAATAACAGATGCCTTTTTATTACTGTAAATAAAAAAGATCTAGTAGCAAGTGTAATAATTACTATAATTCTTAAGTAGTGAGAAGAAATGATTTTTTAAGATATCTGCAACTGCTACAAAGTTACATGAAAATACCTTTGTTATCTATTTATGTCATAAGTACTGCTAGTAATTCTGTGATTTATTACATTGGTAAGTAAAGGAAATGCCAAATTTCTATAAGAGATAAGTGAAAATTTAGATGTCATTTGTTTCCCCATTAAAGTCCATGGATATTATGTGCCAGGCTGAGTAAGTTCAAACATCATATTTAATTTTCCTAATGCCATGTAAGGAAATTAAGGCTTAGGAATGGGGCTTGGCCAGTAAATGGCAGGGCCAAGGCTCCAGGTCTGTTTGGTTCCAGAGTCCACACTCTTCACCAGGCCACACTGCTGCCTTCCCTGCCATTAAGCGTCCACAGGCTGCCCTGCACTATGGGCCTCGGGGCTCCAGAATTTTATATTACAAGTTTCTTTGTAGGCCATCATGATGTGCAGGGAGGGGGTGATATGTGAAAGTGGTCCTGAACCTTCCATGTATGGGACAAGCAGGGCCTTCTAAGCTTCTCATGAGCTCAGCAACAGTGGTTTTTGCTGCAGCCCCACGACCTAAGAGCAAAGGCTGCTGTTCAGAGGACCAGGATTAGGCTCTGAGAAAGGAAGGTCATTTGGTGGATTTAGTTCATCCTTTTGCCCTTCCTGTATTTCGTTTCTGAGGATGAAGAGATTAATCTGACCTGGTTTCTGCTCCCAAGGAGCTCAGGGGCTAAAGGACTGTCTGCTGGAGGGAGTCTAATGAGGGAGGCATATGATGAAAGGGATGGTGAGTGGTTTCAGAGAGGACTGTGGACACATAGGGGAGGGAAGGGAGCCTCCAGCTGAGAAAGGCCAGGATAAAATTCAGTCTCTGGAAGCCCCATCAGGTCTCCTCTTCTCCACTGAGGCTGCCTCAGCAGTGGACTAAGGACAAATGGGTAGGGATATATACCTTCTCAGAGAGACCAGCTCTCTAAGCAATGAGGCTTGGAGCTCAGCCTCTTCTGGTTCCTCTACCCCTCAAGAGAGAGGTTGCTGGAAGCTAGGTTTCCAGGATGCTCAGACCACAGCCTGAAACTAATGATTCCTGCCCAGCCCACCTGGAGCATCCAATTAGAGGATACCACTAAAGGAGCCTGAATGCCTGCGGAGTCAGTGGGGGGCTAGAGTCATCCCTTTTCAGGCCTAAGAAAGGGAATCGGGCAGACTACTGAACAGTAAGATGACTTTGTAGGCAGCATTTAGACATAGCTATTCACCAAGCTACTGTAAACTTTTCACAGTTTGCTTTTAACAGGCTCTTGTAGGCTGCACATGCTTCCCTAGAAACTCATCTTCCCTATCTGAGATGTCACACTCCTAAGCTGGTCCTGAAAAATTGGACATCTCGTCACTCGGTGTTCACTGCCCCTCCCAGAAAGAGAGTTGTACCCTGTTTTTAGCTACCCTGGGGAGAGGCTGGCCCAGGAGTCTAAAACAGGGCTAGATTGGGGGTCAACAAGGGGCTACCATTTCCCTCCCCATAGGCTCATGGAGAGTCTACATCCAGCCTTATCTTCTCCCATGGGAAACCAGAGGAGGCTCAGCATGGTGAGAAGAACATGGCATCCAGAGCCAGGCAGCTTACAATGCCTGGGACCACCGGGGGTTGGGCACACAGCAAGGGTTGGCCTCCCTTCTTGGGCAGTGAAGAGAGTCCTGGAAGGAGGCCATGCTTCTACCAAACACAAGTATCTGCTGCCTTTGCCCTTGTGCTGAATGCTAGGGATCAAAGAAGAAGGGGTCCTCTAGTGTGGGGAATTCACAGGCAAGAGATAATGTGTAGATAGTATTATATTGCAGAACACTTCTTGAAGAGCTGAGGTCTGAGATAGGCCTTAAAGGCTGGGTAAAAAATGGAAGGAAAGAAGCCTGCTGAGGGCAGCTAGTGGCAAGCCATAGGCATGGCACAAGCTCTCCTTCCCTTCTGTGCCAGGCCAGGTTAGTCTGTTTTCTGGCCTACAGGCCCAGAACATGGTGACCAATGGAAGCCAGCCCCCGGGCAAGTGTTCCAAGTGTGCTGTTAGGGTTTTTTCTTTAACTTTTGAGACAGGGATTCCCTCCGTCACTCAGGCTGTAATGCAGTGGCACAGTCATGGCCCACTGCAGCCTCAAACTCCTAGCTTAAGCAGTCCTCCCACCTCAGCCTCCTGAGTAGCTGGGACTATAGGTACATGCCACCTTGCTCAGCTAATTTTTAAATTATTTTAGAGATGGGGTCTTGCTATGTTACCCAGGCTGGTCTTGAACTTCTGAGCTCAAACAGTCCACCCACCTCAGCCTCCCAAAGTGCTGGGAGCCACTGTGCCTGGCTGCTGAGGTTTTTGAGGGGAGGGAGGCTGATGAGCTCTGGACTTTGACTTGGGACTGCCTGACCATACGTTATGTTGGAAGGGGGCCAGCGCTTCTCCTGGGCAAGCATCCCCTCTTAGGTCCCTCCAGTGATGGTCTGGGACTTTGGCGAATTTATAAAATCTGATGCAGAGAATGGGCTTTAGAGTCAGACCTGTGTTTGAATCCTGGCTCTGCCACTGTCCTGCCAGGTGCCTTTGGGCAAGTTACCTCATCCTTGAGCCTCAGTGTTCTTATCTCTAAAATGGGGCAAAGTTGCCCTGCCTCACACTTAAGACAATGACTCAGCCCAAGTCTTGAGATGCAGAGGCACTGGGTAGGTGTTCCCTCCTCTTATCCACAGTGTCTAGGCTGGGCGCTGGCATGGGGGCACACAAGGAGGGGACAGTAAGAACAGCTTCACAAGAACTGAAGCCTGTCTCCTTCAGTGCTCCTGCTCAGATAACATGGAACCCATGGGCCCCTCAATGCCAGGACAGTCCATCAGAGTCTGGGAGATGAGGCTCCTCTTGTCTCGGGATCCTGCGCCTCACTGTGCTAAGCAATCCTGTAGTTATTTCTTAGGGGATGTGGGCCCCATGCCCATGGCCCTGGCTGTGCCTAGCTTAGTGCCACAGTAAATACTTATCCACCATGGCCCAGAGGGGAGATGAGGCCCAGCAGGACCTGACCTGTGGCCATCTGTCCCCCAGGAGTGGCCTGCAGTGCCATCCTCATGTATATATTCTGCACCGATTGCTGGCTCATCGCCGTGCTCTACTTCACTTGGCTGGTGTTTGACTGGAACACACCCAAGAAAGGTAAGTGCAAGGCCTCCCTTGCCTACCCCTCACCATGGGGATGCTCTCCCTCCTGCACAAGCTGAAGGGCCTCATCCTGAGTGCTGTCTCTTTTAAAACCTGCTTTGTGAAAAGCACTGAGCTAGTCCAGTGGGTAGTTTTGGGGGGAGGTTAAAAGCTGCTCAAAGGGCACTGTTCTGGTCCTCAAAAGAGTTCACAGTTGAGGATTTGTATAACATGAGGCAACGAATGTGGAAAGGGGCCCAGTGGGAAGGGGGCAAAGATGCTGCATGGGGTGATGGTCACTGCTTGGGTTTCACACTGGCCCTGTCCTGTCTGCCTTGCCCAAATGTACCCCCAACCCCACCAACTCTGTATTTTATCCCCTGGAAGGTGGCAGAAGGTCACAGTGGGTTCGAAACTGGGCTGTGTGGCGCTACTTTCGAGACTACTTTCCCATCCAGGTAAAGTGCTGTGGGTGTTGTCTTGGGAGAGTGGGAATGGATTGGAAATCTGAACTCGTGCTTAACCCACCCACAGGGAAGCAAATTTAGACCAGGTTGGTCTCTGGGTTTCCTTCCTACTGTGCCACTGGCTGTGCTGGGGGCCCCACTGCTCTTCTGAGTACCCATCTTCTCTGTGCCATCCCCGAGGTCCTGACAGGGAAACTGTGGCTCTGTCTGGCTCTGCCTGGTCTGCAAGCTGGGCTGGTGAGGCACAGCCATCTGGCCTTGATGCATGTGGGCAATACTGGTGAATTAAGGATAACTCTGGCAGAATCCTGAAGGTTTTCACCACAGGGGAAAGACTTGTATGGCTAGCTCACTCAACACCCTAGTCCCAGCACACCCTAGCTGCTAGAGGACCCCCACAGAAGGGAGGGGTGCTGAAGAGTGGAGGCAGTGCGTGAGTGCAAAAGTGTTCTGGCAGGTGCAGGGTGGTGTATATTTTCTGTTTTGAGTCAGTGACTGAGATATCCTGATGTGCTGCCTGGGGGCAGTGGCTGGGTAACCCTGCATTCCTTCACTGCATCTGGTATTGTGGGGGTGGCAGGGCCAGCTCCTTCTGCTCATCCTTAGCCTAAGCCCAGTCTTTCCAGGACCTTCCTGCTTCTCAGGGTCAGGGTTCCTTCTCCTTTTCCTGACCCCATCTATCTGACCGCAGAAAATTGGAAGCTGTTTTTGTTGGGAGAAAGTTGCATCATAGGACCCAACCCTCTCATTTTGAAGGTAAAGAAACTGAGCCTCAGAGATGGGCAGGACTTGTCCAGGCTGCATAGTCTGGTATGATGACAACACTGCAACCATGATCCAGGCTTATTGAATCCAGGGCCCAAGTTCTTTTTCCACTGATTTACTACTGCCTGTTTCTGTGGGAGAGATTCAATCCCTGAATTTACCCATTGGATTGATTCTAGCTTCCTGGGTCTCCCTCTCCCATTTTGCTGCTAGATATCTGCGTTTAAGTTCCTGCCCTGTCACTCCATTCATTTTCCCACCACCCTTGCTCCCTGTCCAGTGCGTGGCTCTGTGCTGGGTATAGGGACATGTCAGCCCTGACCTTGGGGTGGGCTCACTGTCTAATGGATCCTGCTAGACTTTGTTACTTTCTGCCATGGGGCCATGAGCAGACTTTCTCAAGCTTGCTGAGCCTCATCTGCAAAATGGAGCTGTCTATATGATGAGAAGTGATCAGTTCTAATTGGGTGTGAGTGATGATAGACTTCTCTGCTTTCTCTCTTACGTCAGGGGCCAGGCCCCAGTGTTCTCTGTAACCACTGTGGCTTGGTCTTCTGGAAGCCTCCAGGAGGCCAGTAACTTCTTCCACTTAGAACAGGATGACCTGATGACCATTGGTCAGACCTGGGACAGGCAGCTGTCCTTCCCTATCTGATCTCCACCCTTCTGAAAGAACCAAACAACCCCCCATGTCCTTCTCACATCTCTGTTCCAATAAGTCAACTGGGAGTTGGAGCCATAGGGCACATGCAAACTGGCCCTATGAGGGCTCTCTGGAGCACTAGGACAAAAGCCAGGTGGCCCAAGGCAGGCTGAGATGTTGAGCCTCACCTGGGGCTTAGGCTGGGCCCTGTCCTTTGGGGCCTCGTCTCCCCTTCTGTACAGGCAGGATTTGGCCTTGGTGATGTGACATCAGGTCTGACACTCTGCAGGAAGTGTGCATGACCCTCCTGTCCCACCACTTTTTCCTGGCCTCTTGCCAATGATCATGTAATGAAGATCTGCCGCTGTACCCACTCACCCGCCTACTCCCTTCCTGGTGGGACTCTGCTCTTTGCCACTGGAGCAGCTCATCTGGCCCAGAGAGTATCCCTTCTGTTGGCACAGGTGGGGTTTGTGTGTTAGCAACAGCCACCAAGACCACCAGCCACCTGGAAGAGGAGCAGGCAGTGCCCCAGGCCACCTCTCTCCAAGGTATAGGCAGGATCCATGGAGAGGAGACTAGGGAAGACTCTCTAAGCTTAGAATCACCTATCTGTCCATCTGCCTCATTTCACTGATAGGCTGACTGAGGCACAGAGAGGAGGGACTATCCCATGGTCATGAAGCTTAAGTAGTAGCAGGATTAGTGTAGGAACCAGGGCTGTCTGCTTTGGGGCCCATGTTCGTACTCCTGTGTTCCTTTCACCATCACCATGCCTTGCCGTGTAAACTTAAGTCTTTGCTCTTCTGCGGGCCTGGATTTCTTCCTTTATTCGGTGCTGTGGTGTGACAAGCCTATCTGTGCACCTTTCCTCTCCTGGGAGGCAGGGTATAAGGAGTGACTTGATAGGAATGTGTCCCAGACTGACATTAGCCAGCAGGCCTGGCCTGGGTATCATATTAGGCTGGGACTTTGCCACGGTAAACAGGTAGCAAGAGGACACAAGAGCAGGCATGTCAACAGAGCCTTCATTGGTGGTGTCTCTCCCCCTCCCTCCAGAACGGACATTCTCTCCAGCCCTGTGGGAGGACAGTGTGACATGAAAACAGATCAGAGCCAGTCAGATGCCTGCATTCTTCTGGGTCCTACAGCAAGGTCATTGACCTGCACTGTGTCTCAAGTCACCTCATTCAACCAAATGTCCCATCAGATAGAGCTTTGGAGAGGAAGGAAATGATTGAAAGAGCCACCTAGGGGCCCACTGGGTGACACATCTTCATCCAGCAGCCCAGGGAATAGTGCAGCAAGTGGACTGCTCCAGACCTGCAGAATGATTTGCCGTGACCTCCATAGGAGAAGTGCAGCTCCCTTCTCTAGGCCTCAGCTTCCCCCTGTCATCCAAGGAATGGCCTAGACCTTTCAGGGCTCTGCCAGCCCATGCTGTGCTGTGGGTTCCTGTTTATCAGGGCCCAATGAGAAGTGGGGGGCATGGGAAGGGACAAAGATGCTGTATGACATGATGGTCACCTGCCAGGGTAACTATCCCAGGCCTGGCCATAAGCTCAGAAGCAAGTTTCCAAGTTTCCTGCCCGGTATTAGCTGCTCCAGCTCTTCCCTCAATGCCTGCCTACCTTTTTCATCAAAACTGGCACAAAGAATTTTTAAATTCCAGCTTCACTGAGAGCTAACTTGGGGGTCAGACCTACTTGTTAGGCAAAACATTGGAACAGCAATCTCACAGAGCTCATGTAAACTAGATTTTGAGACCTTCTCATTGTCTCCAGCCCCACTAGCCATGAATTAGACTGCAGATGTTTCCCATTTATTTGGAGGAGCAGCTGAGAGTTGGTTTAATCTGTTTACCAAAGGCAAAGCAGGAAAAAGACCATCAATGTCCCAAGCAGTGGGAATGAGACTGAGGGAGGCTTGCTTACATTTGCACAGACTGACAGCACCAGAACTGGGAATGGTGCCAGTCATTCTGTTCCATCCCCCTGAGCCCTCTGTCACCTGAAGATTGGGATTTCAATTTTCCAAGACCAGCCAGCAGCACCTCTCCCCCAGAATTGCACACAAGGTCCTTCAACTTCGCCAGGAGGTTCCCAAATCCAGAGTCGCAGAAGCTCTTGACATTCTGCTGGTGGCCAGTGATTCTGCTTCCAGCTGGCACCAGTGCAGGGAAGGGGCACTTGCCAGCACTCAGGTGGGAGTGTCATTGACGTCACCTTTCTTGAGGCAGGGCAGCCAAAAAGATCAACGTGTTCATTCCATTATCCAGGAATTGTATTTCTAGAAATCTGTCTCACAAAAACAATCAGATATGTGGACAAAGATAAGGTATTTATTGAAGCATTACTTCTAAGAGGGAAATTTTGGAAGCTTTAAAAATGTTCATCAATCAGCGTTTGAGTCTGTGCTGTTACATGCAAGAGTGCTGTGCAGTAGAATACTAATGCAGCCATGAGAAGACGTGGAACAGAGGGATTTTGATAAGGACATTAGCTGTATGTTTGGTAGAAAATGATATAAAAATGATATCAACTCATATAACCTCAATTTTGTGGGATCTGAAAAAGAGCATGTGTATTTTTGAATAGAAAAAGGACTCAATGCGTCAGATTGTTTTATCTGGATGGAAATATTACAGGTGTTTTTAAATTTTCTTTTTGCTTTCCTATATTTTTTAAATTCTCTATGAGTATTTACTATTTGCCTTTCTTTCTTTCTTTCTTTTTTCTTTTGAGATGGGTCTCACTCTGTCATTCAGGCTTGAGTGCAGTGGTGCAATTCAGTTTACTGCAGCCTCTGCCTCTTGGGCTCAAGCCATCTTCCTATCTCAGCCTCCTGAGTAGCTGGGACCACAGGTTTGTGCCCCCATGTCCAGCTAATTTCTGTAATTTTATAGAGATGAGGATTTCACCATGTTGTCCAGGCTGGTCTCAAACTCCTGAGCTGAAGCGATCCTCCCACCTCAGCCTCCCAAAGTGTTGGGATTACAGGCGTGAGCCACCATGCCTGGCCCTATTTATTGTTTTTCTAATCAGAATAAAAGTGATGTTTTTATGAGCAGACTACCCTTACTCACTCACTCTCTCAGCATCCTCCACCCTGATCACGTTCCTTGTAATGCAGGGTAGGTGTCACAGGCACTGTCTCTCTTGGCTCAGGGTTTAGGGAAACTGCGTCACCCACCCCTCCAAGCACCAGCCCCAGAGCAGAGGGTGGGCCCTGAGGAAGCCAGTCACCACTTGGAGCATCCCAGTGTCCTTAGTACCACAGATCAGGTCCTCAGCAGCCTTACACTGATTCCTACCCTAGGCTGGCTGGCACAGGGCTGTCGCTTGTCCTGTCCTGTCCTTTCTGCCTCAGAACTTGAGCTGAACCCAGCGGGCTGTGGGGAAGTTTCCATTCGAGCCAGCTGCAGTGTCCCTTCTCCAGGCCAGGGGAGTAGGAGGTGGGCTGCCCCTCTCACTCTGTGAGCTGTTAAGGAGGCCTCAGAGCACAGGGTCAAGTAGACCCTACCTCCAGGGATCTCACAGTCCAGGGAGACTGATAGTGGAGGCAGAGCTTGCAGCCAAGACCCTAGTTGCCAAACTCAGGAACTTGGACTTTACTCACATGAAGCCAGACACCCTCTCCAGTCTGAGAGTGACAAGGGTTGGATTTGAATCTTAGAATAATCACTCTGGCTGTGGCAAGGAGGGTGAGCCCAGAGGGAGAGAAGGCAGGAGGCTGGCAGAGTGTAAAGAAGAGGAGCTGTGGGCCGGGCGTGGTGGCTCACACCTGTAATCTGAGCACTTTGGAGGCCAAGGCAGGAAGATCACCTGAGGTCAGGAGTTCAAGACCAGCCTGACCGACATGGTGAAACCCCGTCTTTAAAAAAAAGAAGAAGAGGAGCTGCACTGTGCTTGGCTAGGGACTGAGAGGAAAAAGGGCAAACATTGCCCACCCCTTCCCAGAGACCCACAGTGCAAATGGTGACTGCCCAACACCAACACTGTGCCCCTGGGGATGAGAGTCTGAGGTCAGGCATGGAGAGTCATTGCAGCCCTCAGGCCTATGGAAGCCCAGGGGAAATGATACATCCATTCCCTCCCTACCCTCTGGGTGTGCCCCAATACCCCTCTCCCAGCCAGTTTCCTCTGACCCAAGATCATCCTTGCAGCTGGTGAAGACACACAACCTGTCGACAACCAGGAACTATATCTTTGGATACCACCCCCATGGCATCATGGGCCTGGGTGCCTTCTGCAACTTCAGCACAGAGGCCACAGAAGTGAGCAAGAAGTTCCCGGGCATACGGCCTTACCTGGCTACACTGGCAGGCAACTTCCGAATGCCTGTGCTGAGGGAGTACCTGATGTCTGGAGGTGAGAGTCCACCCCTGCCTGCTCCTGCTGGGCACTCTTGTCAAGGCCTGAGCCTCTCAATCGAGCAGGGTGACACAGGGAACCAACACACCATTCCTTGGTGCTGGGCCTGCATTAGGAGATGCAACCTGCTGCAGACACGGCGGGTCAGGGCTGAGAAGAAAAGCTGTCCATACAGTCTTCAGAATTCAGCTTGGATAACATCTTCCTTAGGAAGCCTTCTCTGACCCCCTTTTCTGGGAACCCCCAGCCCCTGTGTTGCCCTCTGTACAACCTGATTGTTGTCCTTGGCACTGTAATTGTTCACCTTCCTGAGACCTCCCACCAGCCTATGCATTGGGATCCCTAGCACCTCGCACCAATTGGCAGAATTAGGGCCCAGGGAATATTTGCCAAATGTATGAATTCCCAAAACAACCTTGTATCATTAGCTGCATTTTCCAGATGAGGAAACTCAGGCTCAGAAAAATAAATAGCTTACGCAGAACCAGACAACCCCAAAGGGGCTGAGCTAGGTCTGGGGCCCAAGTCCAGGGTTCTTTGTGTTTTGCACCTGACTGTGTGCTGAGGATAGGGAGTTGATCCCCAGGCAACCCTGACTGTGTGTCCTCCCCTCCCCCCAGGCATCTGCCCTGTCAACCGGGATACCATAGACTATTTGCTTTCAAAGAATGGGAGTGGCAATGCCATCATTATCGTGGTGGGGGGCGCAGCTGAGTCTCTGAGTTCCATGCCTGGAAAGAATGCAGTAACTCTGCGGAATCGCAAGGGCTTTGTGAAACTAGCCTTGCGCCATGGGTGAGTGCCTCCCTACACACACACAGACACATACACAGACACCCTCCAGTGCGTTACACACACACACACACACACACACACACACACACACACACCCCCTCCGGTGCTTTCCTCAGCATGGGGCAGCAGACTGCTTGGCCCCTGAAAGCAGGACCCAGACCCCAAGAGGGCGTGGAAGGAAGTCAGTCATTCTGTTAGGGAGGGGCTGTTGGATCCCAGACTGCACAGTGTGGGCCAAGTTTGCCCATGTGTAGGCTGGGTGTCTGGGTGGGCACAGATGTAACTTGTGGCCTGTGGGCCCTTGCAAGTGGGCTGAGAGTCCAGGCTTAGATGCAGTACTAGACCACTTGGGGCCAGAGTACATCATTTAGCTGGGAGAACAGGAGGTCAGGAAGGAAGTTGGTGTGGAATGTGGCTGGCAGACAGCAGCTCTTTTCTCTGTCCCCTGGGGACCTTACCTCAGGCTTTGGAAGAAGAGGCTGCCCTGCAGGCTCAGCCCTGAACCAGTCCCTGGGGACACAGTCAAATTGGACCCAGTCCCTACCTTCAGGGAGCACCAAGGGTAGGGGAGGGTGGAGGGACAGATGGTGACAACACAGTGTGCTGAGACTGTGACACAATGGTATGAGTCCAGGACTGAGAGAGGCCTGGGTTGGCAGTGGGACAGAGAGAACTTCTGGCAGAGGCTGGCACTGCAGAAAGAGGTGGAAAACAGGTATTCCAGAGCAGGGTGCTTATTCTTCCCTTTGCCTGGGGGGCCCAGAGCTCTGATATGCTCCCCAATCACTAGCAGTGGGGCAGAAGGCCCATCAGAACCTGGTAGAGAGGGAACATGTGAGCTTGGGACACCCCAGGTGATTCCGGTATACCCAGTTGGGGGAGAGGGCCATTTGACCAGTGTTCAGGGCCTCTAGGCTGACATAGAAACTGAAGCCAGTAATTAGGGTTTGACAGACCCTGGCTTCTCCCTTCCAGAGCTGACTTGGTTCCCATCTACTCCTTTGGAGAGAATGAAGTGTACAAGCAGGTGATCTTCGAGGAGGGCTCCTGGGGCCGATGGGTCCAGAAGAAGTTCCAGAAATACATTGGCTTTGCTCCATGCATCTTCCATGGCCGAGGCCTCTTCTCCTCTGACACCTGGGGGCTGGTGCCCTACTCCAAGCCCATCACCACTGTTGGTAAGCCCCCAGCCTGCAGGCCACCTGGCTCTGATGGTTATGCCCTTAGCCATGAGGACTTTGAAGTGTTGGGTGCTGATGGGCTTGGTCATGATGGGTAGGAGTAGGGGTACGGGAATCGAGCCTATGCAATGAGCCAAGCAAACTCTGTGATGCGTGAGAAAGGAAAACCTGCAGTCTCTGGGTTTGCAGCACCTACTAGTCTATTAGGGAAGACTATTATAGCAAAGACTAGTGGGGGAATGTGATGAGGATGTGCAGGTGCTCCAGGGAGTCATAGCAGACCCCAGGGAAGACATAACTCTTGCCCTGCTAACTGATAGGAATTATCTAGCAAAAGAGAGGAGGAAATAGAATTCTTATCAAAAACAATAGCCTAAGTCAAGTTCAGAAACAAGATTGTGTAATTATTTTGAAGAACAGAAAGAAAAACATTAATATGATTGCAGCATAGACCTGTCAGAAGGGTGGAAAGCATTGGGTACACTTGGCCCTCGTCTGTGTTGTTTTGGGTATATTTGGGACTGTTTAGAGGATTCTAAAGAATTACCTATTGTGGGTGTGTGTGTGCGTGTTAATCGATTCCCCCAGGAGCACGTGGGCCCTTGGCAGTGGACTTGAGGGGCCAAAGCTCACACAGATCTTTGCATTCCTAGGCCAGGTGTCCTGCCTTGTACGTTTAGATAGAGACAAAGCAACAGGGAGGCAGCAGGAACATTTCCACACACAGCTCTGGCTGGGGAGGGACTGGGTCCTGTGGGCAGTATGAAGGAATTTGCTCTTCACCTTGAGAATGGAGAGTGCTTGGGAGGGGAGGTTCAGATTTGCATTTTTAAACGATCCTTGGAGCTGCTAGATTGAAAATGGGTTTGAAAAATGGAAGCCACAAGACCAGCCCAGAGCCTGTTTTGGTAGCCAGTGGCTTGGGCCAAAGGAGTAGCAGTGGAGATGGAAGAGATGTGCATGATTTGGGAGAAATTTCAGAAATAGCATTGGCAGGACATCGGAATGGAATGGGTATGGAAATGCAGCAGGATAAGACAACAAAGCAATGTACAGATCCATAAACACTGGTCTTCTCCCTCCTGCCCCTAACCACACTTTTTATTTTTATATTTCTTTACTTTTGAGACAGGGTCTTATTTTGTCATCCAGGCTGGAGTGCAGTGGCATGATCTTGGCTCTTTATAACCTCTGCCTCCCAGTCTCAAGCGATCCTCCTACCTCAGCCTCCTGAGTAGCTGGGACTACAGGCATGCACTACCATGCCCAGCTAATTTTTTTCTATTTTCACCATATTGCCCAGGGCTGGTCTTGAATTCATGAGCTCAAGCAATCTGTGGGCCTTTGTCTCCCACAGTGCTGGGATTACAGGCATGAGCCACCATGCCTGGCCTACAATTTTTAAAGCATGTCACATTTCTCACAGAATCCTTAGAAAAGCCCTATGAGGAAGAATCCCCATGTGACAGATGAGGAAACTTGAGGCTCAGAGAGGCAGAATGGCTTGCCCAGAGCAGAGCAAGAGCAAAGCTATTTACTTGATGCCTTGACTCTCATAGATCTTCCTGGCAAAGTGCAGTGGTTTCAACCAGTCTTGATTCCATCTGCCGCTCAGCACCTGTGTGGCCTTGGGTGGGTCCTTTCACATGCCCTTGGGCCTCAGTCTTTTCATCTGTAATAGGAGACAACCTGAGATGCAGCACATAAAGCATTTGGCACAGTTCCTGCCACATGGCGGGCCCACAGCCCAGCGTCACTGCCGTCAGCATCATGGTGGATGTCCAGGGGAAGGGTGTTGACTAACCAGAAGCCTCTGCCCTGTCCTTGCAGTGGGAGAGCCCATCACCATCCCCAAATTGGAGCACCCGACCCAGCAGGACATCGACCTGTACCACACCATGTACATGGAGGCCCTGGTGAAACTCTTTGATAAGCACAAGACCAAATTCGGCCTCCCAGAGACTGAGGTCCTGGAGGTGAACTGAGCCAACTCCCGGGAGGAACCAGCTACAAATCATTTTCTATCAAGTGCTTTTTTGTTCTGTAAATGTGGAAGCGTCATGGGTGTCTGTGGGTTATTTAAAAGAAATTATAATAATTTTGCTAAACCATTACAATGTTAGGTTTTTTTTAAGAAGGAAAAAGTTAGTATTTCCAGCTCTTTCACTTCCGGTTTGGCCTGTTCTAGGTGGTGGCTAAATCTGGGTCTAATCTGGGTGGCTTAGCCAACCCCTCTTCTTCCCTTCCTGAAATGACAGGAAACTCAGTCTTGGCTCACAGGGGAAGGAGGATTGCCATTAGTGACTCAGGCCAGTTAGATGAGTCACTTTTTGCCCCTAGGGATGAGAGGCAAAAGCTATTTCTCATACAAGCCCCTCTATTGCCACTATCCCACACTCGTCTGGTCCTGAAACTGCAGGACCAGTTTCTCTGCCAAAGAGGAGTCGGAGAGCATCATTGCCCCATTGTGTGAGGCCAGTGGTAGGCATCTGGAATGTTCCAGTTTGATCTCCCTTCTGCCACCCACACCTCACTCCCAGTCACTCACATCGGAGCCTGGACTGGCCTCCAGGATGAGGGTGGGAGTGGCAATGACACTGTGCAGGGGAAAGGACATGACAATGTGCATGCACCATTGCAGGGAGGATGCAGCCACCATGAACTTGATGGAATAACTGGTTTTTCTTGGGTGGCTGAAGACATGGACTCAGCACAGACTCAGCTTTGGCCTGGAGCTCACACTTCCTAGGTGCCCTCAGTATACCTTCTCTACACCTCAGTCTGGGTATGAGGAAGAGGTTCCTCTTCAGAAGGGGCCTCGCCTTCTGAGCGGCAGATTGGTTCCAGAACAAGTGGCCCCGGACCCAAGCCCCGGACCCAATTTGTGCCTTCCTGAGGGGTTTGGGGCCTGAGAGGAAACCCAAACCTCTCCTGTGTGTTCTGTTATCTCTTGATGACATCATTGCACCATGTCAGACTTTTGTATATGCTTGGAAAATAAATGAAAGCGAGAATCCTCTGAGTTATTGCTAGGGCTGCATCTGCATCTGCTGCTAGCACCTGGGGAAGATAGGAGCCCCAGCTGGCTGCCCACTAAGCCCTCTAGCCCCATGTGCCTTTGGCCACATGCCCTGCTGTGGTGTGTAAGTTACCAATCACTGTAACAAACTACTTCAGAGCTCAATGGCTTCCAACTGTATCTGTTGTCTCCCAGTTCCCAGTCACGATTTGAGGCTTAGCATGGTCCTCCACTGAGGGTTTCTCACAGGGCCGCAGTCATCTCAGAGCTGGACTGAGGGAGGATCCACTCCCACGGCCATTCGTGCAGTTGTTGGCAGGATTTACTTCCTCACTGGCTGTTGACAGAGGCCACTCTCAGCTCCTTGCCACATGGGCCTTTCCATGGGGTGCTCACAGCACAGCAGCTGGCTTAGCAAGAAGAGCCAGTGAACAGAGTGGTGTGTGAGCAAGACGGAAGTTCCAGCCCTTATAACATAACCTGGGAAGTGATATCCTGTCACTTTTGCCATATTCTGTTCATTAAATGAATGTTGCTAAGTCTAGCTCCCATTGGAAGGGAGAGGATTACACCAGGGAGTGGATGCCAGCAGGCAGGGGTCATTGGGAGCCACTTCACATGCTGCCCACCACATGTGGTAAAGGGCTTCTGTTCAGCTGTAGGGCCCTTAGTGGCTGAGCTGGAAGGGTCCTTATGGGTCACTCAGGCCATGTTCCCTGCCCCTGGCCTCAGCTCTACCAAAAAGGCAGAGCCCTCCTGCTGTCACCCTAGTGATGACAAGATGCCACCTCTTTTCTAATTCCATTCTGTTCAGTGAGTACTAAGCACCTGGGAACCCTTCCGGAGACCAAAGGACCTCATTCTAACGTCTTTACTGCCGGAACTGTCTTGCCTGTCCTTGCCATTCATCCCGCTCAGGGCCAACTCCTCTGTGTCAGAAGCTGTGAGGGAGCTGCTTGGGAGCAGAGACAAACACTGGGAACAGCTGAGGATATGCAGGGTGGTCAGAGCTGTGTCAGATGCCCCAGTCTGCCTGGGGGTGCCTCACTAAGGAAAGAACGCCTGAGCTGGGCCTCGAAGGGCTGCTGGGAGTCGCCAGGAAAGGAAGGCAGTGAAGGGCAGAACAGCAGGGGAAGGATAGGGAGGCCTGATTGGAAAAAATGTTGCAGTTTGAAAGATAGAAGAGGCAGAGACAGTAGTGAGGCTTGGCTTGAAAGGGTGGGGAGCTGGTTTCTCCAGAGTTTCTATGTGGGTAGGAGGGCAGAGCAGTGAGAGGAGTGCTGGGAGGGTTCAACAGAAGCTGGCTTCTAGCTTCAGGCAAGCCTCAGGCTGCAGAGCTCAGGTCAGGGACAGCTATTTCCTTTGGGATGGGGGAAAGACCGTTTTTTCTGATGAGAATCTCAACATCACCCCAGCCCTAGCCTGAGGCTGACCTAAGGCTGGACTGCAACTTCAGTCTCTGACTTTAAGCCAAGCCCTGGCCCTAACTGAGGCCGCCCCGCCAAGGTAGGCTGTTATTCTTAAGCACTGCTTTTTGTGAAGAGAGAGCACCTTCTGTGCACTGGGGAACTCCGCCATCTGCCTAAGGAGAACAATAACCAGGTCCCAGATCCCAGAGGAATGCCCTCAGTGGGCTGTCCAGAGCTGAGACCACCCTGCTCTTAAGCTGTGCGTGGGGTGGGAGGGACTCCAGTAGGTTCTGTGAACATTGCCTTGGGATGGGAGTGGTTACCTTGGGAGAGGGAATTGGAACCTCGTTTCCCCAAAGACCTTCTGCCCTTGGGTGTGGTGGTGAGGGCAGCCCTTTGAGCCTGAAGATGGTCAGTACCAAGATTCTGCTTGTGGTTCCCAGATACAGCCACAAGGGGGCACTGAAGATGGTTCTCGGGCATTGGCCACACGGGCTTTGGCTTATCACATTGTTCCAATCTCCTATTTCTTTGTTGATCTGCCTAGTTCTATCCATTATTCAGAGCAGGGTATTGAATTCTCCAACTGAGGGAGATATGTCTCCCTCCAGTTCTGTCAGTTCTTGCTTCATGTATTTTGGGACTCTGCCGTTAGCTGCATGCATGTTTATAACATGTTTATATTGTTATGTCTTCCTCATAGATTCACCCTTTATCATTATAAAATGCTGGTCTCTGTAGTAACCGTTTTTGTCTCAAAGTTTATTGTGTATAACCTACATTGGTATAGCCACCCCAACTCTCTTTTGTTCCTATTTATATGGGATATCTTTTTATTCTTTCCCTTTCAACTTATTTGTGTCTTTGAATATAAAGTGTGTCATAGATGTAATAGCATTGGATGTTTTTTATAACCACATTTCTACTGTTTGCCATAAGATTGTTTAGTCTCTTTACATTTAATGTAATTATAAGGTAGGATTTACATCTGTCATTTTGCTATTTGTTTTCTATGTGTCTAATTTTTTTATTTCCTCTCTCTTTCCATTCCTGCCTTCTTGTGTGTTAGACATGTATTTTCTAATATACTATTTTAATTATCTTCTCATTTCTGTATATCTTTGAGTTATTTTCTTAGCGGCTGGTTGACACTTTAGTCCAGATTAATATGGGTTAAGGTTAACATCTGGCTGGGTGTGGCAGCTCATGCCTGTAATCCCAGTATTTTGGGAGGCTGAGGTGGGCAGATCACCTGAAGTCAGGAGTTTGAGACCAGCCTGGCCAACATGGCGAAACCCCGTCTCTACTAAAAATATAAAAGTCAGCCAGGTGTGATGGCGTACGCCTGTAATTCCAGCTACCCGGAAGGCTGAGGCAGGAGAATCACTGGAACCTGGGGGACAGAGGCTGCAGTGAGCTGAGATCCCGCCACTGCACTCCAGCCTGGGCAATAGAGCAAGACTCCATCTCAAAAAAAAAAAAGATTAACATCTTAATTTCTCCATTATTTGGGCAGGGTAGCTTGAGAGAAAAGAAGGACAGGCCATATGAGAATAGTGTAGTGGGTTGAATAGTGGCCCATACAATATGTCCACAATCAAATCCCTTGAACCTGTGAATACAGTCTTATTTGGAAAAAAGGGCCTTTGCAGATAAAATTAAATTAAAGTTTTCAACATGAGGTAATACTGAATATCTAGATGGGACCCAAATTGAATGATAGGTGTTCTTAGAAGAACAGGCCAGGCACAGTGGTTCATGGCTACAATGCCAACACTTTGGGAGGCCAAGGCAGGAAATTCACTTGATCTCAGGAGCTTAAGACCAATCTGGTCAACATAGTGAGACCAGCCTGGCCAGCATGGCAAAACCCCATCTCTACTAAAAATACAAAAATTAGCCAGTGTGGTGGCACACACCTGTAGTCCCAGCTACTTGGGAGGCTGAGGCACAAGAATTGTTTGAGCCCAGGAGGTGGAGGTTGCAGTGAGCAGCGATTGTGTCACTGCACTCCAGCCTGGGTGACAGAGCAATACTCTGTCTTAAAAAAAACAAAAAAAACAAAAAAATGGAGGCAGAGATTGGAGTTGTGTAGGCACAAGGCAAGGAACACCTGGAGCCACCAGAATCTGGAAGGACCATAGAAGGATTCTCTCCTTGAGTCTTCTAAGAGAGCACAGCCCTTGATTTTGGACTTCTGGACTCCAGAACTGTGAGAGAATAAATTTCTGGGCTTTTTTGTTTTTGTTTTTGTTTTTGGGACACAGTCGCTCTGTCGCCCAGGCTGGAGTGCAGTGGTGCTATCTCTGCTCACTGCAACCTTCACCTCCTTTGTTCAAGTGATTCTCCTGCCTCAGCCTTCCGAGTAGCCGGGATTACACGCACGCCAACACCAAGCCCAGATAATTTTTGTATTTTTAGTAGAGATGGGGTTTCACCATTTTGATGAGATGGTCTCCATCTCCTGACCTCGTGATCCACTCCCTTGGCCTCCCAAAGTGCTGGGATTACAGGCGTGAGCCACCCCACCCAGCCAAAATTTCTGTTTTAAGCCACTCAGCTTGTGTCTTAAACTAACACAGTGACTTTAATATATTTATACCACCTGATAGAGAAGCTGGACCAGCGGATGACAACCTCTAGTCTTCTCACAAATCAAATATTTCACTTTTCTTTCCATGGGGTGGATGGCAAGTTTGGAAGGCACTCTTCCCTAGTACTGCTGAGAGGGTGGAATAATTTCCCATTTAATGAGTTATAATGGGATCATGAGGAGAAGGAAAGAAAAGGCATCTGTAAAACTGAGACAATAATACCTACTTCAGCCGGGCTTGGTGGCTCATACCTGTAATTCCAGAACTTTGGGAGGCTGAGGTGGGCAGACCACCTGAGGTCAGGAGTTTGAGACCAGCCTGGCCAACATGGTGAAACCCCATCTCTACTAAAAATACAAAAATTAGCTGAGTATGGTGGCTCACACCTGTAGTCCCAGCTACTTGAGAGGCTGAAGAAGGAAGGAGAGTTGCTTGAACCTGGGAAGTGGAGATTGCACTGAGCTGAGATCACGCTACTGTACTCCAGCCTGGGTGACAGAGTGAGACTCTATCTCAAAAAATAAAAATGCAAATAAAATAATAAAATAAATAATACGTACTTCACAGGGACTAGAGTAATGTATGTAAAATACTTAGCAAATGTTAGTTCTCTCTAGGTCCTAGGGAAACCTGTAGACTCATAGAGGGGAATCAATCTGCCTAAAATCATGCAGTGAATAAGCTAAAGGTCTAGAGTGATCTCCAGCTGCCTACCCCTGACATGGAGTCTTTCAGCCACACCACTTGGCATCCAGGGTATACCTTCTCAGGAGCCCTGTGACAATATGTCTGCCTGGGGAGTGGCTCACCAGTCAAAGAATCAGTCTAACGGGAAATCAGACATCCCTTGAGTGCCTTTACTACCAGAAACTCAGCACATTTTTTTGTCCTGTTCTCAAACTCAATGAAGAAATGTCACAGTTTGTCATCACGATTTTCACTGCTTTGCCCACCCCAAAATCCACTTGACACAGCAGCCAGAGAGATATTTCTAAAACAT